TTTCTTGGTTAATTCCACAGAGCAGCCAGAAACAGGACCTCCTCTATTCCGCCATCTTGGATCTCTCCTTAACTCTTAAATGGAATTCAACCCCATTCATTTTTCTACACACACACACACACACACACACACACACACACACACGTACACACATACTGTTGTACTCATGCATAAACACACATAACATATTTACCTAGGACCTTTGTTTCTTTTGTGCACTTTATTGAATTTTGGGAAAACAGGAAAATTGAAGTACAAATAATTTAAAATAGAATATTTGGCATTCTTGAGCTTAAAATACTTCTTGGCCATCATTTTATGCTTTTGCCTCTCTTCCTGTGGCATAATCAGGTGTATGCTGGGAAATGATTCATGTGAGCTCTTTTTTAAAGCTGATTTGTATTTTTCAGTTTTCTTCCATTTTGTGAATGCACCCACTATGGCTGTCTTCAAATTACCCACAAGGCGTCACTGAAGACACATAATCAGCTCTTGCAATTAGGAGTGAGTGGCCTCCAGCACTATATTCCAGCACACCTCTTCTTCCTTTTTTGGAAGTACCCTTCATTTTTTTTCCTGCATCCCTCCTGTTTTTTAATGAGGAAAGCTTAGCTTTCCCCCTGGACTACTCTCTCATTCAGACCCTTTGGGCCTCTGAGAAAAGTCTATTGTCCTCCAATTATAAATAAAGCAATTCCTAAGAGGACTTTTGGTGCTACTGATATATTTTAACCTCAAGAATAAATAATTCATTGTTGACCGTGAAAATTTCTGGATCACCTTCTCTGAGTTATTGATTCTTATGAACTCTCTTGCTTTTGAATTTCAAAAACACATTTCTTAAAACTGCATATAACTTTCCCAGTCTCTCAACAGTAGTCTCTTTAAGATTGCAAAGTTCTTAAGGCTATGGCTGTATCTTATTTATTTTTTAATTTCCTACACTAACTTGWGAAATAAATTCACTTTCTTGATATTCAGTCATTAATTATTGGATTGAATTTAAAATTTGCAGACATCTATAAAATATCTGCYGTGTACATTCTATTTAGTGTTAGTGGAGCTAACCTAGAAAATACTTAATAAATGTTCATTGATTTAATTCTAAAACAACCTTTACTGAGTACTTCCTATTTAAAAGCACCATGTGAGTAACTTGAGTCCAAGAAACGTCACTCATGGTCCTTCCTTGCTTTGAGAACCGGGAAGAGAKATGGGACATATACACAAGTCACATATATATGTACTTGTCACTTTATCATTTGCAAATTAACTTATTGAGCTTTGTCTCCAAGAGTTTTAAAGAGGGAAAAATGGCTTTTAGCCTTGAGATTTCAATAAGAAGATAAGAATTTAGACTTGGAAAGCCTACAACTGAGTGGGAGAGAGGAGGAAGGGAATGTTCTCGGCAGAAAACAGTGTGAAAGATACAGAGGTGAAAAAGTATGGACTTGCTTAGGGGGCAGCGATGGTTCAGTCACGCTGAAGTGGAGGTTCTGACCAAGGAGGTTGCAGAAGGTAATATGAGAAACACCAGAGCGCCACGGTATGGAGAAAACCAGGGACCCGGCTTGAATTCCAGACTGTGAAGACATAATGGGGAGGTTGTGCAGTGAGAGAAATGGGGGAAATGTGGAGTCAGAATTRGGTAACAGGTATATTCTGGTCTGTGGTTAAGAGGAAGGCAGCATGGTGGGGTTGCAGTGGCCGTTAATAGCATCAGGAGGAGACCCGGGGGGCCCTGAAAGTCAGAATTCAGAACAGACTTTTTGGTTAGATGACTTTTGTTTATTGTCTTAGTCTTTTTTTTTTTCTGTTGCTTCAACAGTAGATCTGAGATTGGGTAATTTATGAAGAAAATACATCTATTTTTCAGAGTTCTGAAGGCTGGGAAGACCAGGATCCAGGGGCTGCATCTGTTGAGGGCCTTCTTGCTGCATTTTAACATGGCAGAATGTATCATGTGGTGAGAGATCAGCAGGCATAGATTCAGATCTCCCTTCCTCTCCTTATAAGCAACTAATAAAATTACAAGGACCCCATCCTCATGATATCATCTAATCTTAATCACCTCCTAATGGCCTCACCCCAAATATCATCAATATATGAATTCAGAGACTTAAGTTTTACTACATGAACAATTGGAGATCACATTCAAACCACTGCAGTTTGTTAGCATGTGGCAGCTGTTTTCATTCAGGAGTAGTCAGTGAAGGGGGCTGGGGTTGTGGGGTGGGGTTGTGGGGTTGTGGGCTGGGGTTGTGGCTCAGTGCTTGCCTAGCACATGCAAGGCCCTGGGTTCGATATCAGCACCACCTAAAAGTAAATAAAGGTATTGTGTTCAACTACAACTAAAAACCAAATTTTTAAAAACAAAATAAAAAATAAAAATCAGTGAAGAACTGTGGACTGTCTTCTGCAGCTTTGGGTTGGATGGGGGATTCTAGAATTTTGATCAGGAGAATGACATCATCCTTGTATCTGGTGACAGTGTTGGGAGGAGGATGAGACAGAAGTAGATCTTACTGGCTTATTAGGATTGAAAAACTGAATTAGGGGTTTGACAGCTGCAATAACAGATGCAATATAAAAGAGCAACTAYTGATAGATCTCACAGAGAAAGAAATAAGAGCCTGTCTGAGCAAAGTTTGTTGGACCTTTCTGAAGCAAACTGCGGTCAGTGAGTGGTAAGAAAGAGAAGTCAATCAGGAAACAGCAAACAATGATGCTTTCTGACAATGTACCCAGTAATCCATCATTCTGTTCAGTTTCTGTGTGTACTAGTCTCTTTCAGGGGAAGCTGTAAAACTTCTTGATGATCAACTGGTCTGGCTTCACTCTGGATCTGTCRACCTCATCATAGATTTATTCTTCTGCACATATTAAACATTCCTAGGAAGGGTACTGAGAGTTCTGTATTTGTGTGAGTGAAGGGTTGATTTATATAGCCAGTTCTTTTTGTCTATTCTGGCTTGTTTGTGTTCATGGCATTGGTCACTTCTGGAAATATTATGTCTATTTTTAACAGCATTGCTTTTCTAAACAGTCAGATTGGTATGATAAACTGCAACCAGAGATAGCCTTGACAGATGTCCATGCACAGACTCTTAGAGTCAAGACCAGAGGAGACTAACCCACACACAGATCCTGGGAAGGGTTTTCTTATAGGAATAATGAGAAAAAATGGCCATCTAGAAACCTGAAAGGGTTTCCATGTCTCTCTGAATGTCTACTTTGGTGCTAGGTGGCTCTGGGGAGGTTAGAGATTAAGGTGTCTTAGGAAAGATGACACAGTTAGAACTCAATAAACAAGCAACTTCCTCTTTCCCATTAATGTTCTCCTGGCCTTTCAGGCTTTATTTGTATAACCAATTTTCCCCTAACTTACCTATTTCCTATTATATACTCTTGAGATTCCTAAACTAGTAGTGAAAGGAAAACAGAGAGTAAGATAGATTGAAATGCTAAGGATAAATTTATTTTTTTCGCTTTATATTTAAAATATATAATAGAAATATATATATATATGCATATACATAACATAAATTGTGTGTGTGTGTGTGTTTATCTTTTTCCAACTTTGCATTTTATTCCCTGTGAGCACATTTTATCCTTTCATTCTCTATTCTCTCCAAAGTCTCTGGATGTTTTCAAAATACCAGTCAGGTTAAGGCTGTGTTCCAAAGCCTCTACTAACTTCTTACCCCATAGGAAAGAGAGTTCCTCCTGGGACCTACAGGTTCTATATGACTGTCATATCTACTGACATACCCACCTTCCCACCCTCTTCCCCTCAATTGCTGAGTTCCAGCCACACAKGCTGTTCTTGGAACACTCTAGGATACAAAACTGCTCCCATCACATGACCTTTATTCTCAGGACCCTCTTGGCAAATTCTCATAAGACTTTGTGGCTTATGTCATTACCATCTCTTCTCTTGAATGGCTCCCTCTCACAGTTGTTCTTCCTGATCCTAGTCTCAAAAGTAGCGCTTTGTCAGACTCCATGCTTCCTCATATTGTGTCTTCATGTATCACCTACCTTTACCTAAATGTGCATCCAAAGGTGTGGAACCTCCAAGAGTGCTTACTGTTTAAGAAGTKCCCTATAAACATGTTGAATGAACACATGAATTTGAATTTGATCTTTTCTTTATATCATTTCCCAGTAGTCCTGCTGGTTTATATTCAAAATAAGCCATGTAACATGCATAGTGATCAATTAATGTTAAGCTATTAATTATGGATAAGAAAATTAGTAGTTGTCTCTATATTGATATGTTGTGGAGTTAGTCTCCTGGTTTTTTTTTACTTTCYCCAGAAAACATCAGGAGAGTTTTAGCTTTGTTTTTCTTTTAAGCCACAATTTACCATGGGAACAGAATTACTTTTAAGACTTTTCCATGGCTATATTATTTCTGTGTGTTTGCCTCTGATGAAGTAAGCAACCTCTGATAACTGCCCACTGTTTCCAACACCTTCCTGTTCCTGTTCGTTAGCTTGTGGGTTCATCGCACATGTAAAATGGCATATGTACAGACATGTGAAGATCCATCCACTCCCTAGCTAGTAAACATTAATTCATATGTTTAATTCATACTTTAATTCATACTTTACTGTCACTAAGCAGAAATTTTGGATCTCAGAGTTGGTTATTTTTCTCTAAAGTTTTTATTTTGTAAGTGAAACAAACTATTTAACTTAAAATCTTCTTTTTTTCTTTACAGATAGAAGTCCTAACAGATTTGCACTTCTTTTCTGAGGCCTTTTATGAGTTAACCCTGATATTTTATGGGAAAAATATGCCTTGCCCAGTGCCTTCTGGTTTAAAAGCTACTGGAAAAATTAAGGTAACTTACTAATTTGAACTGTTCTTTGTCTTCGAAGGTTATAATTCTAAAATCTAGGAAATATTCCAACAACAGTGTATTTACATGTCTCCAGTACTCCACACTGCTTTGTTAAATCTGGTTACAACTAATATCAGATTTTATGAGTTTTCATCTGTCTGGAATAGCACAGTGTCATGAGGGATACAGCAAGGTTTTGTAGTAAATTTTTGCAATGGAACTCTGGCACAGGGACAGTGAATATTGCTTTTTATTATAGTTATTATAAGCCATTTCTTTAGACACATCAGCCAACACATTTTAGGTCTTTTAGCCTAATCCTATAATTTCTGGTTAATATTCTTACTCAAAATAATCTCTCCTTATAACTTGTTTGGACCTTTTTGGTTGATAAACATCACATCAAAGAATTGAGAATATTTTGTTCAGATTTCTTCTGAGTTCTGTGGGGAATGAACATTCTTCTCCATTTTGCCTAGAAYGTTTGGTTTTAGGAGACAGTTTTACCTGGATCACTTGATTTGTATTTATAAACTAGATAACTGGAGAATTCTTGAAAACAAGTACTAGAGTTCATGATGAAAGCAGAAATTAAATCAGATTGAGTTATTATTTTCCTCTGCTTTGGTCTTCATGGTGATCTGGGAATCAGATGCTGTAGGCAGATGCTTGGATCCATGTGAGCCAAGAATAAAGGAAATGGGTGAGAGGCAGGGTAGAAAGTCCCTTTGCCTGAGGGAAACCATATGTGTGAGGAGTGAGACTGACAGACATAATACATTCTGGTGTGATTTGAATTTAGAGGACCTAAAAGAACCTGGGGGAATTATCTGTAAGACTTGGAAATCAGTTGCATAAGCTGACATTATATTTTGCATATTGTGTCTATTACATCGGCATATTCCCCTAAAATGTACTTCTTTTTATTCCATGTGACTGCTACAACATTGTAATTTATTATTATAGGGAGGGGGTGTAACTTAGTGTTAGAGCACTTGCCTGGCATGCATGAAGCCATGGGTTCAATCCCCAGCACTGCAAAAAATAAGTAAATAAATAAACATCTATATATCTATATCTATACATATAAGGAATATCTATGTGTTATATGGCATACATTGTATGTATGTGTGTGGATATGTATGTGTTTGTCTACCTGTTTGTTTATCTACTACCTTCCTATCCATCAGGAGAGGAGTTAGTTGGTTATTTCCTTCATTTTTTGTTGTATAAATGAATTCATCTTCTTGCCTGGATTAAGTTAGTAGTATTTTCTTGCTTGAATCTTAATCAACAGTCTTTCCCTAATACAAATGGTTTGTATTTTGCTATTAAAATTATATTTTAACTCACGTGTAATGTTTCTCAAGTGCTTACTGAATATAGGTATTTTTCTAGACTGGGGATGGAGCAGTAAAGAACAAATGGATCTCATAGTCCAGGGGGGAGACAAATAATAAACATATTTAGCACATAAGTATAAGTCAGGTGGAGGTATGAGGGTCAATCCAGCTGAACTGAGGGGAACTAGTAACCAGGGCAGCTCAGGTTGCTGTTTTATTCAGGCCGGTCTCTAATAACCAGGTTTTGAGGAAAGTGAACATGGAAAGATCTGTGGGAACAGCCTCCCAAGTGGGAGGAACTATAAAGGCAAAGGCTCTGAGAAGGATGCTTGCAAGATGTGGTTGAGGGAAAACAACAAGGCCAAATGAGAATTCAGGAAAGAGAAGAGGAGGGTAGAACCCAGGAGCCAGGTTATGTAAAACCTCCTGARGCTCAGTCAGGACTGGAATTTACTCTCTACCCCATGGGAAACCGAGACTGACAAGGGTTTTGAGCAGAGACATGACATGATAGGAATTAAATATAAATAAACTACTTTGTTTGCTTTTTGTGAAATAAACTRTGAGAAAGCAAGGTATAAATAGGGAAACCAATGAGAAGGCTGATGCAAGCAATTTGGTTGAGATATGATAATATTTGGAGTAATAGTGGTGGAGGGAGTGAGCAGTGGTTCTGTTCTGGGTGTATTGTGAAGATAGAGCTGACAGCATTTGCTGATGAAGGTTTAGATTTGGGATGTAAGAGACTTAAGTCAAAGTTACTGCAGAATGTTCAACTTGAACAACTGGTAGGAAGAAGTTTTCATATACCGAGAAGGGGAATGCTGCTCCTGGCAGGAATTGAACATGATAAATATGAGATCCATAGTAGATAACCAGGTTGTGATGTAGCATATATAGAGGCAGAGACTGTAATCCAGGGGAGAGGTTGGGGTTGCAGGGATGTTAATGGAAGCATTAACATAGAGATTTAAAACCATAGAACTAGGTGCAATCAGCTAGGATCCCAGGCAGACAGAGAAATCTAGAAAAGAGAAAACTGAACTTTAGGTCATCCACATTTAGAAGATGAGAAGGAAAGAAACCAATTGGGTAGAATAATGAGAAATGAGAATTTTCAATGGCCACAGTTTTCACCCAAATAAACAATCAAAAAGTCTGGAACTAATTTTTACATGTAAATTCCAGACTTCATTTTTATCCACAAGCTTCATAAGATAACTGTGTGGGCGAATTATCTCCCAATAGATTCTGACTTCAAATTTTGTATTCTCAAAGTTAATTTGCAGCTTTCCAGCTTCAATTGGGAATTTAAAAAGTGTAATTAAAAGAGGAAATGCTTTCAGGGTTTATAATTAAAATAGGTGCCAATGTTATTAGGCTGCAGGCCAGTTATTTAAAGAAGGGATTAATGAATTAAGTTTCACTTGTAAAGGAAGTAACTGAAAAAAAATTTATGGATTACTATTGGACTTTTCATAGTCCTTTAAAAATTCTATATTTTAACATTATATTTATATTGAGATTCTGCTCTTATCACCAAATCTAAGGTCCCACTATGAACTCTTTTCAATTTATATCACCAGAGATACCACCATCACCACATTCAGTTACTAACTTTTCAATGTATTCTAGGCAGCAAAATGTATCTTCAAAAAAAAAAGGATTTTTAAAAACACTAATATTTTCCTCCAATGAAAGCTATATATGATGTATTGGTTTGGGAGTCCCTCAAAAGCAGATTGTGAGACAGAGATTTGGAAGCAAATAATGTATTGGGAGGCAATTCCAGGGTGTATGGTGAGTGAATGGGAAAGTTACACATCAGAAAGGTGGGAAAGTTACTTCCAGAGAGCATTGAAAAGAAGGTCCCTGCCATGGGCAACTGGGATAGAACAAGTCTCTTATTCCTCAATGATAAGGGTTCTACCCTGTACCACTAGCCTCTCTTGAACATTCTTATGACCATAGAATTACCTCAGGCAAAGAGGTAGTACACCAACCATGTGGAGGCAGACCCTTTATGGAAGCTTTTGGTGACTTCCTGGTGACCGAGCTGATATGCAAGGATGTCAGTATTGGCTTCTCTTAATGGACATCTTTTACAAAGGGCTTTCTATTCCAAGAGGGCCTTATTCTACTCCAGGATACAACAATCTCTTCTGGCAAATGAATCACTTCCTTGATGCACCATTAAATTTATAGCTAAATGTATTAATAAATTATTCACAAAACAAGCAAAAGTACCACAAAAATAGTCATTCTGAATAGTCTTACAGTTTTACCTCAAGCTGGGAAAGACAGTGTTAAGTGATAATCCTCAATGCTGTTAGAATTTTGAATTTCTACACAATATGTGAGGGAACGTAAATTGGGCCAGCCCATTTCTGTTTTCCAATATATTCCTATATTTTGACCCAGAAATCCTGCTTTCAGGAATGTATACAGAGGCARTAGTCAGAAATACAGACAAAATGGTCACTCACCAGTGTTATTTAAGCTAAGGCTGATTTGTGGAGAGATGGTGGGAAGCAGCCCCCTTAGGTGTCTAACAGTGGGCAAGAGGTTATCAGGGCTACATTCATAGGCAAGTATTTCCTATCAGACCGAAGTTATAAATAATGGTATCAGAATAAATTATGATGTAATACTTAGTGAAAATGAAATTCAAATCCATATATAATTTTAAAAAATTTATTAAAAATAAATTGGTAGAGAAGACAAAAATATTAACACTGACCTCACAAAGGAAATTGACTTATGTATGATTTTTACTTTATTTTTTATATTAATCTTTTATGAATAGAGCATATATTACTTTTACAATAAAAATGGTACACATTAATAGTTTCATTGAAAAGAATATTCAAATAATCTGGTTCCTACTGTTAATATTTTGCTTTTTTGACAGTTGTTTCAGTCATTTGATTCAGGAAAACCTCTTACCAACAAAGAAAACATACAGGTAAGGATAATAATGTTTTCTAAACATTGGCTATGTAGCATGGATAATTTTTTTTAGTGCTGATAATTTTTGAGTCATTTCAACTATCCAGTAAGTATAATCTTTGGTTTGGGAAATCTTGTATATAATATGCTTTCCTATTTCTAATAGTGGAGTTGTATCTCAACATCCAGAAGCCAGAGGTAGGATTGGATCAAACTGTTCTAGCAGATAACTGTTACTGCTCCTGTTTTTCATAAAGATGTGTATTGAATTTGCTCATCTAGCCATGGTAATTATCTCTAACTTTAATATTTATTTGGTTACCTACCAGGTAACTCTGATTGTAAGAAAAGGGTTCTATTTTGAAATGGCCCAGTTTGTTGCCAGTTCCTAGTCTGTCAGCCAATGGTTTGGCAGAGTTTTCATTTGGCATTTTCATTAAGTTGCTCCTCTGATTTTTCCAATATTTTTCCACATGAAGAAAATGAGACTGCCCATCTAAATACATTTAGGGTAGTCAATAATTGAATGATTGGAATTTTAAGCATTTGATATCCTAGTAGCATTTAAATATCTTCAAATAATCATTTAAAAAATTCTAGGGATATTGGTAGTCTGTGCCCTAGAAAATGCTGGGACAGAGTGCTGTATCACAACTATGATTACAAGATATTAGAGATGGGGAAGGAGTCTACAGTTAACATGGACAGGGATTACATATAGGTTTATTTATTATTTAAATCCTATGAAACAGTATCCTATTTTAAATAAGGTGGTTTTTTAAAATTAAATAACTTGAGAGATACTTCCTCAAAATTATTTTTTCCTCTTCCATAATTTTAATAGAAATAGGTCTACCTTTTATTAAATGTAAACTTAATTTTTTCCTATTATTGTTTATTACACAAAGTCTACTTTTAATTATGCTTTGTATGATTCAATATTTTTGCTTAAAATTTAATTTTAATTTATAAGGAAGTTGCCTGAAATGAAAGAACTGATATTAGGAAGATGTAAATACATATTCTTAACTTATTTTAGTGCTCCAAGACCTTGGGGGGTTTAAGAGTATTTATGACTTTTCAATCATAAATGCCAGACTATCCTAAAAACAGTGCCTCTAGGAGCAGTTTTTGGTATAAAAAGAATGTCTGTCTGATCGTTTCTTTTTATACAAAAAGAGACTGACAGTATAATGGAAACCCGATTTCTAATAGCTAATTAATTAAAACAGTACTGTTGGCCCACTTAAGACTCTTCAGATTACACTTTGTATTTTCTGCATAGAGGGAGAGAAAGGGGTGTTAAATAGCATTACTAATTAATCTTCCTTTGATCCTCAAGTGTTTGTGTGTAATTGTCAAGGCTCATTAAATCACTGCTTGCTATGATAGGAAAAGAGAAGAGAATGTCCTCTCTCCTCACCCCTAGTCCATCTGAAATTTCTCCTTTAGAAAGAAAGGGTCAACCATTTTCCTAATGCAACAGCTTGGCAGAAAGTCAGGCTCAGTGGCTGTTCCATGTGCTGCTTTTCTGAATGCATCAATTTCAACTCTTTTGAAAAGATTCAGAAAAGAGAATGAACAATAACAACAAACATCCCCACTGCCACGGTTGCTTCAAACTTTCCCAAGCAATATTAATTACTATACTTACATAAGGCAAATAGTTTCCCTCTTTTTTAGAATAGGTAGCTCCTTTTATATTAACTCCAAAAATATCTATGAAGAGCCTGTTGTATGCAAGGCACAGATTAATGATGTCAATCAAATGTATCAGTCAGCACTCCAGACAAATCTCAGTCCTCCTGGAGCTTATAGTAACACACAGGAATAGGAATAAACATAACATATAAGTAAACATTATAAACAAGTAAAGTATATATTTTGCAAGTAGGAGAACCTTGCTTGGGAAAAATAAACCCAGAAGTAGGTGAAAGGGGTTGGGAGCATGGGGTAGAGTGAATATTTTAATTTTAAATGGGGTTATCAGTTTAGTCTTCACTAAGGTGACTTGTGTGAGCATTCCCCAAACAGGTAAAGGGGTAAGTCATATGCAATCCAGAGAAAGAACAATCTAGAAAGAGGGAATAGCAAGTGCAAAGGCCCTGTCTATCTTGGTGAGAGACACCTTGAGCCCAGTGTCTACAGCTGTGGTGGGGAGCCATAGGACATAAAGTCAGAGAGGTAAAATTAAGAAAGGCCTTATAGGGACATTGTAACTTAGTCTTATATAAGAAAAATGGAAAGCCACTGGAAGGGCTTTGAGCAGAGGTGTGGACAGCTTCRGTTTATCTGTTGATCCCACTGTGTGGCAGGTACTGTTCTGATTCTGAAAATAGTTTAAACTCACCAGTCATCAAAATAGACCCATCCTCAGTCCTTGTGAAGCTTGTGTGTAGGGGATGGTTAGGAGGGGAGAGTAGGAATATAGTTTTAGACATAGGAGTTTGAGATACGTCTTAGACATCTAAGTGGAGGAGTTGTTGGTTGTTTATATTGTGAATTTTGATTCCAGAAGGGAGATTGGACCTAGAGTAAAGAGCTCATGATTTCATCAGCCTTTAGATGAAATAAAACCAGGTGCCTGATTAAGATCATCTAAGGGGAGAGTGAGGACTGAGTTCTGAGAGATTACAGTATTAAGAGGTACAGGATAAGAGAAGGAACCACCAAAGAAGAATGAAAAGTAGTGGCTAGTAGGATATGAGGGAAGTAAAAGGARTGTAGTAGCCCAAAATGTAAGAGAAAAAAGCACTTGAGAAGGAGGGAGATGATAAATAGTATAAAATTAAGTATCATAAATCACTCAGTCTTAAATGTGATTTTTTTTCACATTTAACATCTTTGAAATTAGAATGCAACTTACAGATGATGATATTACAGTTTAATGTGCACATAAAATAACAGATTAGAAATAGCATATATATGAGGACTAGAATTGAACATTGGATTTAGCCAAATGTAGGCATTGGTAATCTTGACCAAAGGGTTTGAATGTAGAAATGGAGTGAGTTTAAAAGCAAATTAAATGATAGAAATTAGAATATTGTCAATTCCTTTTTTAAAAAAATGTATTTGTTCATTTTAGTCATACATGACGGTATAATGTATTTTGACATGCTATACACACATGGAGTGTAACTTCCCATTCTTGTGGTTGTGCATGATGTGGAGTTACACCAGTCATGTAGAATATTGACAATTCTTAAGAGGATTTCCGTGAAGAGTAGCAGGGAATTAGGGGAGTAACTTGAGAAGGAAAGTAGGTTATAAAGGGTTTTGTTTTTTTTGGCGAAGGAGACAATAGCATGGCTATGTGCTGATAGGAATGTCTGTGCGGGAAACATTTGTGATGCAGGAGTGAATGAGSGATACAGAAGAGAATGACTGAGAGGGTCAATGGGGACAGGTCTGACCGTCTAAGTGRGAGCAAAAGCTTTAGGCAGAGGGAAGGAAAGTGGAACTCTGACGAGTAGATGCTYAGGTAGGTGAAATAGTTGGAGCAATGGGGTTTGGATGATCTACTCCACTTCAGTTTTCTCATTTTAATGGAGAAGGCAAAGATCATTAGCTGGGAGAAGGAGAAGGAAGAAAGGATTAGAATTTGGAGGAGAGAAAGGCATTGAAATGATTGTATGGGAGATAAGGACAATGAGTAGACTGGCAAAATTTAGAGTGATTACTAGGCAGCACTGAGGTTTGGGATGAGTACTTAAAGTAGGGCCACTTGTGAGTTTGTGTRATCTTCTCAGGTCTTCTTCAATCGCAGACCCTAAGATGACTTAAAGTTTGATTTCAGGGTTGTGCCTATGATTACCAGGCAGGTGTGTTGTGCGTGAGGGAGAGGGGCAAGGGTTAACGGTATATACAAGGAGGAGTATGATTGACCATGGATTCTAAGCTGGGAAGGGAGACTGCTTGTCTATTCATTCATTTCTGTCCAAGAGTCTTTAATTTACTTACACTAAAACAGAATGGTCTTTGTGCATAGATGATGACTTTTGTGCAGTTTATCTATTTCGATGAGGTATCCTTTCTCTCACTCCAAGGATTAAGTTCACCCCTATTATATGTCAGGGCTAGCCACATGAGACAGAGGTCAGAAATTGGTGGGAAATGACGGAGTGCTTATGAAAGAATAGATCTCATTAGAAGAGTAGATAAGCAAATGAGAATTAGAATTATTTATTAGGAATAAATAAAAATGGCAAGAAGTAATAAACACCTCTTTATAATTATGACAAATGTAAATTGTCTCAATTCTATAATTAAAAGACATAGGTGGGGATATTGGGTTAAAAAAGAAGACTCAACTATATGTTGCCTAAAAGAAACATATCATAGGCAAAGACATCTGCAGGCGGCAAGTAAAAGAGTGGAAAATGATATTCCATGGAAATGGAACTCAAAAAGCAAATAGGAATAGTTACTTTTATATCCAACAACAACAACAAAAAAGACTTCAAGCCCAAATTAGCCACAAAGAAGGTTATTGCTTACTAGTAAAGGGAACAATCCAATGGGAAAATATAATGATAATAAATGTTTTTGCCCCAAATGTTGGTGTACATAATTACAGAAAATAAATACTATTTGACATAAAGGCTTAGTTGGGTCCCAATGAAACAATATTGGGTGATTTCAGTACATCTCTCTCACTTGCTGCCAGCAGATGTCTTTGCCTGTGACATGTGTTTCTTTTAGGCAACATATASTTGATAGGTCATCCAAATATAAAATCAGCAAAGATAGTACATCTACAGATTTACAACTTACTATGAACTTAATAGATGTCTACAGAATATTTCATCTAACAGAAGCTGAATACACTTTCTTTTCAGCTGTTCATGAAACCTTATCCAAAATAGATCTTTTTATTTTTTAAGCCACAAAACAATTCTTAGAAAATACAAAAAAAAATTGTAATACAACTGACACTAGGATTGCTGTATATATACACATGGATGTATAACCAATGTGATCCTGAAGTCTGTACATGTGGAAAAATGAGAATTCATACCCTATTTGAATCAAATGTATGATATGTCAAGATCATTGTATTGTTTGAGCAACTAATAAAAAAAGAAAATACAAAAAAATTGATATAATTTCTTACATCTTATCAGATCTCAGTGAAATGAAATTAGAAATAAAAAGCAATAAAAACTATATAAATCCATGGAGATTGAACAATACACTTTTGAATGAAGAGTGGGTCATAGGAGAAATAGAGGAAAAATTAAAAAATTCTTAGGATAAAATTAGAATAGATATACAGTATATGGGAATCTCTGTGTTGCAGTGAAGGTGGTTCTAAGATGTGAGTGCCTTCATTAAAAACTCAGAAAGATACCGAATAGATACCCTAATGATGTATCTTAAAGTCTTGGGAAAACAAGAACAAACAAATCCCAAAATAAGTAGAAGAAGCCATAAAGATTAGAGCCAAAATTAATGAAATAGAGAATTTAAAACCCTGCAAACTGTCAGTGAAACAGTTTTTTGAATGGATAAACAAGATCAATAAAACCTTAGCCAAACTAACCAAAAGAGAGAGAAGAGTCAAGTTAATAAACTTAGAGACAAAAGGAGATCACAACAGACACCACATATCCAATAGCTCACTATTTTGAAAACTTATATTCCAATATTGGAAAATTCTCAAAAAAATTTATACCTTTCTAAACAAACCTATGACCTACCAAAATTGAACCAAGAGGATATAGAAAACTAAGATAGACCAATATCAAGCAATGAGATTAAAGCAGTAATTAAAAGCCTTTAAACAAAGAAAAACCAGAATTAGATAGATTCACAACTACAGACTTTTAAAGAACTAATGCCAATACTTCTCAAAATATTCCATGAAATATAGAGAATATTTCTAACTCATTCTTTGGAGCCAGTATCATCCCAATACCTAAACCAGGTATAGACATATCAAGGGGAGGAGGGGTACTACAGACCACTACCCTTGATGAAGATGTAGAAATCCCTAATAAAACAAATTCAACAATGTATTACATATTATACACTATTATCAAGTTGATTTTTCTCCAGGGATTCAAGGATAGCTCAACATGCACAAATCAATAATTGTAATACACCACATAAATTGAATCAAGAATAAAAACCACATGACCATTTCAATAGATGCAGAAAAGGCCTTTGGCAAAATTCAGCACCCATTCATGATGATAACCTTGAAGAATGTGAGGACAGAAAGACTTACCTCAATATCACAAAAACTATATACAACAAACACAAAGCCAATTATCATATTGAATGACAAAATACTGAAAGAATTTCTTCTCCAATTAGGAACCAAATAAGATGTCCATTCTCACTACTTCTATTTAACATAGCACTTGAAATTTTAGTCAGAGAAATTAAACAAGGGAAGGAAATAAAAGGGATACAAATAGGAAAGAAAGAAATCAAATTATCACTGTTTTCAAATGATAGGATTTTATATTTAGAAGATTCCAAAAACTGTACTGTAAGACTTATAGAACTGATAAATTCAGCAAAGTAGCATTATACAAAAGTCAGCATACAAAATCAATACCTTTTTATATATTAATAATAAATCCACTGAGAAAGAAATCAGAAAAAAATTTGAAAAATGGAAATCAGAAAAACAATTTTATTTAACAATAGCTCAAAAATACTAAGATAAAATACGTACAATAAATCTAACCCAAGAGGTAAAAGATCTCTATAGTGAAATTGCAGAAAAGGGAAATAGAAGACACTAGAAGATGGAAAGACCTCCCATGTTCATGGATAGGCAGAATTAATATGGCTGTATTACCAAAGTGACCTGCAAATTCAAAGCAATGAATATACTAATAAAATTCTTCACAGAACTAGAAGCAGTCCTAAAATTCATGTGGAAAAACAAAAGACAGAATAACCAAAACAAATCTGAGCAATAAGAGCAATGCAGGAGGCTTTGCAATATCTGATTTCAAATTACACTCCAGAGTCATAGAAACAAAGACAGCATGGTACTGGCATAAAAACAAATGTATGAACCTATGGAACAGAACAGAGACACAGAGACAAATGCCCTCAGGTACAGTGATCTGATCCTTGACAAAGACACCAAAAACATAAATTGGACAAAAGATAGCTTTTTTAACAGTTAGTGCTGGAAAAACTGGATATCCATATGTGAAAGACTGAAACTGGATTTCTGTCTCTCATCCTGCACAAAAGTGAACACAAAGACCTAGAAATAAAACTGGAAACTTTTCAACTGCTAGAAGAAAATCCCAGGGAAACACTCCAACATAAATGTGCAGGAAAAATTCAACAGGACTCTTAAATCTCAGGAAATAATAACAAGAATAAATAAATGGGATGGAATCAAGTTAAAAAGCTGCACAGCGAAGGAGACCATTGCATGAAGAGAGAGCCTGCAGAATGGGAAAAAAATCTTTGCCAGCTAGTCTTCTGACAGAGGATTAATATTCAGAATATAGGAAGAACTTAAAAAACTTAACACCAAAAACCAAAATAACACAAAACAATTAAACTAACAAAAACTCCCAAATAATTCAATCAATAAATGGTCAAATGAACTAAGCAGACATTTCTCAAAAGAAGTAGTACAAACAGCTTTCAGTTTTATGAAGAAAATGTTCAACATATTTAGCCATTGAGAAAGTACAAATCAAAGCTACACTGAGACTTCATTTCATTCCAGTTAGAATGGTAGTTATCAAGAGTGCTAATGACAATAAATGCTGGTGAGGATACGGGAAAAAGGAACTTTTATATACTCTTAATAGGAATTAAAATTAGTACAACCACTATGGAAATCAATATGGAGGTTTCTGAAAAAACGAAGAATGAAACCACCATATAACCCACCTATATCATTCCTCAGTATTTATACAAAAGAATTGACCTCAGCATACTACAGAGATACCTATATACTGATGAGTGCAATTAACAATAGCCAAGTTATGGAACCAGCTGGGGTGCCTATCCACGGATGAATGGTTAAAGAAAATGTGACATGTGTACATGATGGAAATTTATTCAGCCTACAGAAGAGCAAAATTATGTCATTTATAGGAAAATGGATGGAATTGAGAGCATAATGTTATATAAAATAAGCCAGACTCAGAAAGTAAAGGATTATATGTTTTCTCTAATATGTGGAAGCTAAAGAGAAAAAGGGGATCTCGTGAAAATTTAAGAGAAACTGTTAGGGAGATGAGAGCAGGGAGATGTACTGTGGAACAAAACTGATCAAATTATATTACGTACATGTATGAATATGACACAATCCGACTATTACATATAATTATCATGCACCAGTAAAAATAATACAAATGTTTCAAATATTGAAAATCTTAACCATAATAACTGCCACTTATGGAATCTCCTATYTTTTCCTATATTCTTTCCTCCAGCACAAAATGGAGAATGCAATTGGGGAAGGAAACTAATAATAACTTTTAGAATTTTACTGACTTACTCCTGCCTACTTTTTCCATTTTTTAGGCACTTGACGAATTAATAAATAGAGGCTCGCCTGTAGTTCTGGTTATGATTGGCCAACAGCATCTTCTAAATAAATTTTATATGGTTAAGGCACACTTTTTCATAAGTGTGGCTGCAACAATAAATTCTGTACCAGAAAATTCACTGAAAGCTTTCTACCAGGGAGCTAACCATGGTAGCTTTGAGAGGAACAAACCAACTCTCTCTAACTTGAAAGGTAATCATTTGTTTTATTTATTGTTATTTCTCTTTTTCTTCCTTTCCCCAACAACACCCTACTCCACCCCGACTAATCCATATGAATAATCTAGAATATATTCTTTCATATTTTACCCTAAGCTCATATAATGTACATATTTCTAGGTATGTGCATATGTTATTTCCATTCATATATATCAATACTTTTATATAAATAAGCATGTACATAACAGATTTTATCATTTATTTATAGAATATTTTATATACGGTTTTCTGCATCTTGCATTCCACATGGAGAAAAACCTCCACTGAAGCCTCTCAGAGACAATTGCTTTGGCTTTGGTCCACTGTAGTGAATGTGTAGTATTCTTGTCTTTGAATGTCACATGATTTATTCAACCATTGCCCTATTGATGCTCTTGTATTTTGTTTCTAGGAATAATGCTGCATTGCTGCATATCCATAGGACACAGTGTATATTTATTTGTGGTAGATATCCATGAATAGGATTTATGGGTCATTTTTCAATTGTATTAGGGGCCATTTTAAAAATGGATCTTTTCTACCATTCAGTATTATGATAACTATGGATTTTTAAAATAGATATTCTTTATTTGGCTGAGGAACTTTTACTTTTATTTTGTTGAATGATTTTATCATAAGAGCATCATATTTTATTAAGTGATTTATCTATATCTGCTGAGGTGATTATTTACTTGTTTTTTTAAATTTTATTGATATGGTATGTTACATTAATTGATCTTGTATGTTTAACCAAGCTTGCATTCTTGGAATAAATCCTACTTGTGATTTAATTCCTTTTATAGACTTCAAAAGTAAAAAAAAAGTTTTTTCTTTTTGCTCATGATTACTTTGACTATTTGGGGTCTTTTGTGGTTCCATATAAATTTTAAGGTTATTTTTTTCTGTGAATAATGTCATTGCAATTGTGATAAGATTACATTGAATCTTCAGATCACTTAGGGTAATATGGACATCTTAACAATATTAGTTCCTCCAATCTGTGAATATGTAGTATCTTTCCATTTGTGTCTTCTTCAACTTCTTTCATTAATATTTTATAGTTTTTAGTGTACAAATCTTTAATTTCCTTATTTAAATTTATTCCTAAGTATTTTATTTTATTTTTGAAGCTATTGAAAATGGTACTGATTTTTTTTTAGAAAGCTGTTRGCATATAGACATGTGATTGATTTTGTATATTGATATTTTGAATTCTGAAACTTTACTGAATTCATGTGTTAGTTCTATCAGGTTTTTTTTTTTGTGTGTGTGTATGTGTGTATCTTTAGGGTTTTCTGTATATAAGATCATGTCTTCTACATTTTACATTTACTTGTTCCTTTTCAACTGGGTATTGGTGGGTGTCTTTTTTTTTTTCCTTCTTCTTTTTCTTACGTGATTGTACTGGCTGTGACTTCCAGTACTGTGTTGAGTAGAAGTAGTAAAGTGGGCATCCTTGTTTTGCCTGTATCTTAGAAATCTTCCATTTTTACCACTGAATATGATGTTAGCTGTGGGCTTGACACATACAGTCTTTATCATGTTGAGAGACATTTCTTCTATACCTAGTTTGTTGAGAGTTTTTATCATGAAAGATGTTGAATTTCATCAAGTGCTTTCTCTGCATCAGTTGAAATGCTCATATGGTTTTTATCTTTCATTTCATTAATGTAGTATATCACATTTATTGATGTATGTATGYCAAACCATCCTTGAATGCAAGGTATAAATCCTACTTGGTCATGATAAATGACGATTTTAATGTGCTTTTGAATTTGGTCTGCTAGTATTTTGCTGAGAATATTTGCATCAGGGATATTATGTTAGCCTGTAGTTTTCTTGTCTGGTAGTATCCTTGTCGGCCTTTGCTATCAGGGTAATTCTTGTCTTGTATGAGGAGTTTGGAAGTGTTCCCTCCTCTTCCATCTTTGGAAGACTTTGAGAAGGATTTGCATTAACTCTYTTTTCAATGTTTGGTAAAATTCACCAGTAAAATATCAGTCCCTGAACTTTTCTTCCATGAGTTTTTATTATTATTACCGATTTAATGTCCTTACTCATTATTAATTTATTCAGATTTCCTATTTCTTAATGATTCAGCTTTGGTAAGCTTCATATTTCTAGGAACTCATCCATTTTATTCTGTGTTATCAATTTGTTAATAATAATTTCTTATAATTCTTTGTAGTTCCAGGGTATTGATTATAATGTATTCCTTTTTTATTTGTAAGTTTGAGTCTTCTTTTCTTAGCCTAACTAAAGACCTATTGATTTTATCTTTTTATAAAATGGTCTCTTAGTTTTATTGTTCTATGTTCTTCTAGTCTCTATTTTATTTATTTCTGCTCTAATCTCTGTAAAGTATTCCCTTTCTTCCACTAACCTTCAGCTTAGTTTGTTCTTCTTTTTCTACTTTCTTAAAGTATAACATTAGTTGTCTTTATGCTCTTTTGTTTTTCTTAACATAGGTTTTTATTACTATAAACCTTCCTCTTATAAACTGCTTTTGCTGCATTCTATATGTTTTGTTATGTTGTATTTACATTCCTATTTGTTTCAAGATATTTTTCCTTTTGGTTTCTTATTTGACTCATTGGTTGTTCAGGAGTGTTCTTTAGTTTCTACATGTTTGGAAATTTTCCATATCTTCTTCTGTTATTTATTTCTAATTTCATACTGTTGTGATTGGAAAAGGTAGTTGATATAATTTCAGTCCTCTTTAATTTCTTAAGACTTGTTTTGTGTCCTAATGTATTCTTTATCATGGTGAATGTTTTTGTGCACTTAAAAAAGAACATGTATTCTTTTAACTGTTGAATACAATGTTCTGTACGTGTCTATTAGACCCATTTGGTTTACGATGTCATTTAAGTATATTGTTTTCTTATTGATTTTCTACCTGGATGATCCGTCCATTTTTGGAAGTTGGATATTGAGGTCTCCTTATTTATTGTATTGCTTCTATTTCTCCCTTTAATTCCAATAATATCTGCTGTATGTATTTAAGTACTTCAAAGTTAGGTGCACATGTTTTAAAATTGTTGTATCCTCTTGATGCATTGACACTTTATTATTTCATAATGACCTTGTCTCCTGTGGGAATTTTTTATTTAAAGTATGTTTCATCTAATATAAGCATTGCCACTTCTCTTCTCCTTTGGTTACCACTTGCATGGCATATCTTTTATCATTTATTCACTTTCAGTCTGTGTTTTCAGAATCAACTATATATATTTTTTTAAGAGAGAGAGAGAGAGAGAGAGAGAGAGAGAGAGAGAGAGAGAGAGAATTTTTTTTAATATTTATTCTTTAGTTATCGGCAGACACAACATCTTTGTTTGTACATGGTGCTGAGGATTGAACCCGGGCCACATGCATGCCAGGCGACCGCTTGAGCCACATCCCCAGCCCTCAACAATATATTTTTACAATTAACACTTTATATAATTTTATGACTTTTAAGGAAGCTGAAGAAGATAGCAGAGCAAATATATGCTTATAATTTTTGTCAAATTAATCCTCACAATCATTTCTGGTCCTCTTCATTTGCTCCTCTGAGTTCAGGTTACCCTCTGGAATATTTCCTTAGTCCAGTCCACCTTTGCTCCCATCCACTTGTTCTGTGCTATTATTGGTAAATAAATTATATATATTTAACAATACATTATATACATATCATTTTATACAAATGAGTTAATTCAGTATAGAGAAGAAGAAATATATACTTGGGCTGTTTTTCATAATGTAATTACCATTATTAGTGTCCTTTGCTTTTTCACATGGATTTGAATTATCATCTATGTTTTCTTGCTATTACTCTGAAAAACTACATTTTGTCTTTTGTCTAAGGTAGTGTGTTAGCAAACATTCTCTCAGTTTATTTTTACTTGGGGAGTTCATTTTGCCTTCATTTTTGAAAGATAACTTTTCTGGGTATGGGTTCTTGTTTGAGAGATTTTTGGGGGTACTTTGAATATGTCATTCCACCGTCTTCTTGATTTCATTATTTCTGATGAGAAGTTAACAGTTAATCTTATTGGAGTTTGTTCAAAAGTGACAAGACATTTTTATATTTTACTTCTGTAAGATTTTCTTCTTTTCTTTGGCTTTGAGAATGTTTACTAGGATGGTCTATTTGTGGCTCCTTTTGTGTTTATCCTACTTGAAGTTTGTTTAGCATCCTGGATATATAAGTTAATGTTTTTTTTAAATAAACTTGATGCATTTTTCATTATTTTTTCTTTAAATATCCCCCCTTCCTTTCTTCCTCCTCTCTCTTGGTACTTACATTATGCATATTTGATGTATTAATAACGTCCCGCATTTCACATTTCATTGTGTTCATTTTTCTTCATTCTTTTTCTGTTATTGATCAAATTTACTCATTGTCTCTTTTGTCAGCCAAATTTACTGTTGAACCCCTTTTACTTTTTCAGTTTCAATTCAATTTTGATTTCAATTTAGTTTTTCAATACATTTTAACTCTGTCATTTCCAATTAGGTTTTTTAAAAATTTCTCCTTATCGATGTTTTTATTGGATGCAACATTATCATCATGCCTTCCATGGTTTCTTCTAGTTCTTTGCTACATTGAAGTCTCAGTCTACTAAATCCAATATCTGGTTGGCTCTGTCAAAAAGTTTCAGTTGCTTGCTTTTATTGGTGTATGGATCATATTTTCCTGTTCTTTACCTTTTTTATTTTATACTTTTTGTTGGAAACTGGACATTATATATATAATATATTGTATCAATTCCAGGTATCCTCTCCCCCTCTCCTTAGGGCTTGCTGTTTTATGTACTTTTTTATTTAGTGACTGACTAGATTATTTTAGTGAAGTGTTATTTCCTCCCACACTGTTAAACCTCTGATAGTGCTCTGAGGGTGTGCAGCCTTGGCCATGCATACGATCACCCTGGGATGAAAGTTTTATTAGGGTCTTCCAGAAGATTCCCAGTTGTTTTTATTATTTTTGTATATATGCATGACAGTAGA